CCACACACACAGACACACACTCTCACTGTCTGTAATTCTCATAAACACTCACACACAAATGTGCTTCCACAAAAATAGCTGTGGGATAACGCCCACACATAACACACACGTCTGACTGACTTGCGCTTTATCACCATCATTAGTGCGACAAGAGGCATCCTAGAGCCCCTTTACATAAACGCATGCGTGGGAGATGCACACTCTCTCTCACAATCACACTCACACACAACCTCCTCGACTTCATTTGTTTGTTGTTTTGTTCACTAAATCGCTCTTCTGGCCTTTACACTTCATTCTTTTTATCAGTTCTTCTCTCTTGAATCTTTGTGACATGCAGCAGCTCCTGTCTTTACTCAAGTTTTTATTCTTATCCTGGAGAAATACACACACTGAGGTGAATAACATACGCATAGTGATTAAGAACAAATGACTGCAATGTTTCTTCATGACTTCTGCCCTTCGTTTCTTTCTGTTTCTGTTATATGGGACTTGGAGAATGGTGTTCCTCTGCCACTCCGTCCTCCATTTCTCCTCATCCCCCCATCTCCATCACTGCTGTTCATTGTCTCAGTTACTCATCCTGTCCTTCCTTTATTCTTTCTCTCTCCCTCTCTATTCCTTGTGTTTCCACCAGTCTCTCATCCCATTTTTACTTCATCTTTCTCTTCCTCTTTGTTTGTCTCTCTCTGCCTCCCATTTATCTTTAAAGGAGAGCCGCAGCTACAGCTTTGCTACTTACAATAAACTGTATTGTTCTTGCTTGTCTTTTGTTTCTCCCCTTTTCTTTTTTTTTCTGCCCCAAGACCTTTCAGTACTTCGGCTTATAGGGAAGAGCCACATTCATACTTGTCATCAGACTCCCTCCCTCTCTCTCTTTCCATTCTTCCTTACACTTTTTGTTCTGCCGTTTGCTCACACATTTGGTCTTTCCATCACCTCCTATCGTCTCTCTTCTCAATCACATCAGCAACAGCTTGTCAGGGATCATCAGTGTCTCCCTCTCTCCCTGTCTCTCTCTCTTTTCTTTCCATCTCACAAAGTGTCTCAGAATATCTCAGTTTTAGGGTTACAGCTAACCTTGACCTTCCTGCTCTTCCCTGTATCCTTCTCTATCTATCTGTCTATCTGTCCGTCTGTCCGTCCGCCTATTTGTATGTCTGATCTATCTATCTATCTATCTATCTATCTATCTATCTATCTATCTATCTATCTATCTATCTATCCAGTTGTATGTCTGTTCCATCCATCCATCCATCCATCCATCCATCCATCCGTCCGTCTATCTGTCTATCCATTTGTGTCTGTTCTATCTATCTATCTATCTATCTATCTATCTATCTATCTATC